TTTTTCGATTCTATTACAGAGGGTGGAAAATGAAGTCTGAAATTGAGAATCTCTTGCAAAATGCAGCAGAGTTACACATGATAGTGCTAGAATAATTCTCAGTGAATCCAGCTCAGTATACGCACATGCAGACCCACATATATTTCATCAAACATGTAAAATGATTGGCGCTTTCCTGCCCTTCGAAACAATGGTACGCCAAAATGCATTGTGTTTGAATGAATTTTGAAAACAAATAGAACAATGTGAAATGTGCTTTTGAATAATACGTGGTGAAAATTGACATGGTCAATTTTCAAAAAGGGAAAATTAAGCACTTTTTAAAAACACCCAATAAAAAAAGTACCTTTAAGGGCTTTAAAAAAAAAAATCAAAAATATGCACTTTTTAAAAACGCTACGCACTCTGGAAAATTATCCTAGAGTTAAATTTCAAATCTAACTACAGAGAAAAAAAATTTTGCAATATAGGTAGACAGTGAACATCAAGTTGTCAGAAAATTGTGGAACCTTACTCTCCATGTCTCCTTGGCCCACAATGTGCTACTGTGGAAATGCTTAGATTCTAGATAGATAAACAGGATAACTACAAAAATGGATAGATAACAATATGCATGACAGAATAGGAGGAGTTCACTTACGGGATACCCAACCAGGCTAATAGTTGTGTGGCTAATCCACCACAAAATATAACAGTAACAATAGCTATAATTGATGTAGCAGTTAGCATCAGATGTCTCGATTCTGACATTGTATTACGAATGGCCAGAGCAAAGGCCATTGCTCCTCTTAAACCTACAATTAGAAAGATAAAATTCAATTTAAAAATTAATATTTTTTAATGATGAATAACAAGCAAAATGTCGGAAATTTGTTTAAAATTTTTTAACAACATTATTTAATAAAACACTAACTGTTGAACAGAGAAATACTGGTATCTCTGACATAATAAACTAATTTTCATACAAAAAAGTACCCTTATTTGTAACAAAAATAAGCAATACACAATGGTGAATTCAACGAAAAAATAAAATAATGCAGAATTTTATATAACTCTTGATCTAATGTTGCAATTTTAATGATCTAATTTCAAGGTTCAAAAAGCCTCAATAAGATGGTCGAATGAATTAGAGTTAAATATTATTTAGACTAGGTGATCAAATACAAAAATATGTTGCCCTCAGAATAAACACAGTATACAATTTGAATTTTAGAGCTAGAAACCTAACGAAAATTCATAGAAAATAAAACACTATAGTTTACAGTAAATACACCATAATTTAAAAGCCTTAGAGTCGTATTTTAAGTTTTATAATTTCAACAATATCTTTAAAAAATATATATATTAGCACAAATGTAAAACATTTTGGATCGAATTATAAAACTTAAATCACCTAATAAAGATAGTTCCACGGCAAAAGGAATTTTATAACTTATTTTTTATTAAATATGGTTGAAAATTTTTTAAATCAAAATTCTTATGCAAAATTAAACATCATTATTTAATTTAATAATGATGTTACAAAATACTTTGAATGGTAAGGAATAAAAATTTAAACTATACAATTTTGAATGATAAAATCCAAAATTTGAATGAAATAGCTAAAATACTTATTAAATAGAAATGTTAATTTCTTTTTCTTTTAAATTTTATCAATCAGAAATTATCTGGCAGATTTTGCTAGAATTTTCTATTTTGTTGTTTGAAATCACATAGTCAAAAATGAGATAAACATTTGTGTACCTTAAAATGTAATTTTTTTTTACCATTATTAAGTTAAAAAGCAAAAATTATTAAAAACCATGTTGTTTTTGAATAAAGAATTTTTAAGATTATTTTATTAGCTTAAATAAGTTCACAGATTATTATAGCAAAAAGCAAAATTTATATTAATAGCTCCAAATTTTGGATAATTTTCCAGCCAATTATCTAGATTGCGATTATATTTTAAGAGCCAAAATTCTGATGCAATCAAAAGAGACGGAAGTTTATTCAGAGAAAGTAATATCGAATCATTTGCACAAATTAATTAGCTAAAAATATAATTTGCACATTTAGTATTATTTTAGGATATTTAGAACATCAGAACCTGATCCCTAGATTAAAAGTTATTAAGTGCATTTTCTCTATTTTTCTTGTTTATGAGCAATGTACATTAATTACAATACAATAAAAACTAGTTTAAAATAAGAGAATTCAAGCAATATCAAGCGGTGCAAAAATCAAATATACATTAAAAAATCTGTTATAAACAAGAGAATTTATACATAAATAAGTTGTGCAAAAAGCGAATATACCAGAGAAGAAGAGAACATGTTGAAAACTCAAAGGAATTTTATTGTGTCGTCCCAAATTAAGAAGGAAAGAAAGAGGATAAATATTTAAAGCTCTTCCAACCGCAATTGCAATCTATAACATTTATTAAGGTTAAATAGATTTAATAAAAAACAATAATACACTGTTATAGTATTAAAATAAAATAAACAAGAGTTCATTTTAGCAAAATTATGACTATGCTACAAAATTGCAAACTTTTCTAAAAATTAAATTTGTACTTTCTATGGTCTAATTATAAGAATTAGAGGCCTTGGTTTTTAGCTGAATAAACTATAAATAATTATTAAACATAGGTATCTGAACCACTCAGAATAGTTTAATGCTATCAAGTTAACACATCAATTTATCATTGCACTAAAACAAAATATTTTTTAAATACAAAGTTAGCTATATTTTTAGAACTCCTGGGAAAAATAAATTTTTAACTTGAAAAACTTCAATAAAAAAAACCATAAATTTTAAAAACAACAAATTTTTAAGTAAAATTTACATTTTAGTCAATTAGAATTTAAATGAATCGGTGACAATTGCTAAATTCACCATAAACATTTAATTCAAAATTAAAACAACTGCCAATAAACTCATTTAAAAAATTATTTCAATGCATTTAATGTGCTATATGTAATTTCACCTGCAGCCTCTCTGGCGTAGAAAATCAGCCACATTTAAATTTTCACAATGGCAAAAAGGACAAGGAATTAATTTTGCCTTTTTTAAAAGTATCTCAACATTTCATCAGACTTAATACATCAGAATAAAGTAAGATTTATTTTTCTTTCAGGGGAACAGATTGACCTATAATAATAATAATAATGTAATAATTTAATTTTTTGAAATGATCTAAAAACTACTTAAGATATGAACAGTAGTTTGAGAACTGATGTTCTTGCTGTTAAAGGAAAAGTATANCATTAATTACAATACAATAAAAACTAGTTTAAAATAAGAGAATTCAAGCAATATCAAGCGGTGCAAAAATCAAATATACATTAAAAAATCTGTTATAAACAAGAGAATTTATACATAAATAAGTTGTGCAAAAAGCGAATATACCAGAGAAGAAGAGAACATGTTGAAAACTCAAAGGGATTTTATTGTGTCGTCCCAAATTAAGAAGGAAAGAAAGAGGATAAATATTTAAAGCTCTTCCAACTGCAATTGCAATCTATAACACTTATTAAGGTTAAATAGATTTTTAAAAAAACAATAATACACTGTTATATTATTAAAATAAAATAAACAAGAGTTCATTTTAGCAAAATTATCATTATGCTACAATATTGCAAATTTTTTCAAAAATTAAACAGGTACTTTCTATGGTCTGATTATAAGAATAAAATGCCTTGGTTTTTAGCTCACCTAAAGCTGAATAAAATATAAATAATTATTAAACGAAGGTATCTTAACCACTCAGAAAAGTTTAATGCTAACAAGTTAACACATCAATTTATCATGGCACTAAAACAAAATATTTTTTAAACACAAAGTAACCTATATTTTTAAAACTCTTGGGAAAAATAAATTTTTTACTTGAAAAACTTCCATAGAAAAAAACCCATAAATTTTAAAAACAACAAATTTTTAAGTAAAATTCACATTTTAGTCACTTAGAATTTAAATGAATCAGTGATAATTGCTAAATTCACCATAATCATTTAATTTTAAAATTCAAAATTAAAACAACTGCCAATAAACTCATTCAAAAAATTATTTCAATGCATTTAATGTGCTACATGCAATTTCACTTGTAGTCTCTCTGGCGTAGAAAATCAGTCGCATTTAAATTTTTGCAATGGCAAAAAGGACAAGGAATGAATTTTTCCTTTTTTAAAAGTATCTCAACATTTCATCAGATTTAATGCACCAGAATAAAATAAGGTTAATTTTTCTTTCATTTAAAAATAGATTGACCTATAATAATGTATAATAATAATCTAATAATTTAATTTTTTAAAATGATCTAAGAACTACTTAAGATAGGGACAGTAGCTTGAGAACTGGTATTTTTGATGTTAAAGGAAAAGTATAAAATGACAAATAAAATTATTGATTGCTTTAATAATCAAAAGGCTAAACAAAATTAAATCTTCTCTATTCTATTAGTATGAATGAATGAAAAATAAAATGATTCGGAAATCAAACAACTAAAAAAGGATACAAAAGCTGTAATGATGAATCCCCAATGCCAATAATGCTTTTGGTAGGTAAACATAGACACTCCAATGTAGCCAAATATAAAATTCTCTGCTACAAAACTCAGAAGTTCAAAAAGCTAAAAAATAAAATTTTTATGAGAAAACAGTATTTTACACATATAGGTTTAAAAAATAACTTAAAAATAAATTATGCCACACTTTTCAGACATGATATTAAAATGAAATAGTTAGCAAAATTTTTAAATTAATATAGTATAAATATTACTGGCAATTTTTTGAAATGCTAGTACTCCATAGACTATCTAAACATAGTGGTTGTAGATAATGTCTAAACAGTTGAATAAAAAATGTTTTTATGCAAAGTATAAAAAAAAGGTCTTGATGGGGTAATTATTTAAATGACATTCATTCCTGAAAAATACTGACGTAATTTTTAAAAAAAAATGCTTAAAAATTACTATTAAGGAGACTAATAATGTATTTTACTGGCATTATATGGACCGCTGGTCTTTAATAGAGTGCTTAAGGATTTTAAAGAATATCTATGTATTTTACATGTTGCCAATTTATCATTCAATATGTTAGAGAACATTACAAAGTGTGAAATTTCTACTTATCATTGGCAACCGAATATTTAGGGCAGATGGGTATGTTTTGACTTATAATATGCAGTGTCGCAAATCAAGCTACCATATTTTTCTTAGGATTATGAATTTTCAGTTCAACAGATATTAAAAATAGGGAGCAATAACACCGGCTTTGAAGGGCTTGATAAATTAAATATTACTTAAGGTGATATTGACGAGGACATTAAGAACAGGGTTAAAAAGGTACTGAACACTTTTGGAATGCTTTTCAAGGTATTGAAATTTCAATATTGGAATATGAAATTAAAAATACAAATATACAATGCAACTGTGAAATCTGTTCAGCTATATAGCACCAAAACTTTTAAGTTAATAAAGTAGCAGGAAAACAGAATTGATGCATTTTGAACAAAATATTTTAAAGAAATATTGAAAATCTACTTTCTGAACAAAAGAAGCAATATCTATGCATGCAATAAATCCAGTGCCAAGCCATAAACAATCAATGTAAAAAAGAGACATGGATTGGTCACACATTAAGAAAACATGCTTAAGAGAATCACATTGATCTGGTCGCCTGGAGGTAGCCTAAGAACAACATGGTGAAATTCGGTGACCAATGAGAGATACCAATTTAATTGACCCTAGTTGAAATGTTGCCAAAGAGACTGCACTGGATAGAAGATGGAAGGCAGAGTTTCTGGCTTTATGCATCTTTCAGGCATAAAAAGCTTCAAGACAAGTTATTCAATACGCAAAGATGTGCATCTCAGAAAAATACTATCTATGTCCACAGATGTGTTAACATATCTGCATTTAAGGGGTGGACCTTCCATTTTATTGGCTGCTTGAATAAAATTCTTGCATTAGGGATGGAATAGATAAAGAAACGCTCCATGTATTTGAACCCAAATGTCTTTAAGAAACATTGTGTTGGCACAGTATGCAAAATTCTTGTTCACGCTCACTTCATCAACATTGATTTGGATGTTGGAGAAATTGAACAGTGAAAAATGTTCAGCGAGATAACCGAATATGCACCAGATTATAACACTTTTGTGCTATTCTATCAACCAATGATCTCGGCTTCCTGTGCGGCATTAGATGTCACCGAATAGACCGAAGACAGCTTCCAGAAACTTTTTAGAGACTGAGGCACCGATGCTAGGCGTATATTTGACTTATGGTATTTCAATGCCAAAAGGCAGCAGCATACAAGTAAGAAGTGTTAAAATTATGGCAACATTTTTGATGTCTGAATTTTCAGATATCTTTGCATGTAAATGATTTGATTTTTAAAGATATATGGATAACATTGGAAACATTGAATTTTTTTTTAAAAAACTAATAGTGTTTTTTAGTAATACATGTGTTTAGGGTTTTCAATGCCTACATTCTTTTATAACTTTGGTCTCCAAAGAAAATTATTCTTATTTTTTGGGTAAATAGAAGAAAGCAAAAATTTTAGTCTAGCTACTACTTGAGAATGGATACCGTGCTATAGAATGCCCAAGTAATGTGAAATAATGAACTGTTTTACACTTTTCTAGCCAGTTTTCAGCATTTTATAAAAGGCCAAATTTAAAACTTAGTTGGTAAATGTAGTACAAAACTCTATAATAATAATAATAAATAATTTATTTGTCATGTTAAAACAAATTCTTGTAACAAATTTTAATTATGCATTCATAAAATAAATACTGTGCAATAGAATTAAATCTAAATTAAAGAAAATCTCACTAACTTGTTTAGTTCTTGATCTAGATTCTACAGTTAAATTATTGTATGTGTAGTGAGCTTGACAAATACCACAAAAGAGAACAGCCACAATGCCTGAAACAAAAATAATGAATAAACTGAATAAAAAAAGACTATACATCTTTTAACAATCTAAGGATAGTTAATACATAAAGAGATACACTTTTTATGGACAAATTATTTGGTATTTTTTCCCATTTTGAAAAATTTAAGTTGATTTTTTAATTAATTGGATTTACACAGTAAGAAAATTTTCTGTATCGGTGTACATTGCGAAAAAACACCACAAATAACTTTAGATCTAATAATCGGATTTTTCCGTACTTGGCCTCAATCTTAATCATTTGAGTGGATAACCACAAATATTAGTTCAGACAACATTTTAAATTATGAAATCAGGCACAAAGAGATACTTTCTCAAATCAAATTTTAAATATATGATTTAATTAAAATTCGATTTCTCAGGAATCACACGCCTTATTTTGTTCAAATTTTTTATTTTACCACTTGAAATAACATTCTTTTATATGTTGTAAAAATTTGCACAGCTTATAATTCAAAATTTTTTTGCCTATTACTAAATAAAATAATAAAATTTTTCATTACATATTGCTATTTTTTTTGGATGGAATTAACTTTGGGTAAACAAATTTTATAATTGAGTGAAAACTATTTTAACTTGCTTAAAAAAGTTCAAGAGCTATAGTAAAATAAACTATAGATATGGTAAAGTAAAATTAAAATTAAGGGGTCCTAAGTTTTAACCGCTCTCCTAACCAAACTATTCAGACCATATTTTTCAAATTGCATTTTAAAAGCAGCCATTAAGATACTTGTAACCATTAAGATTGAATTATAGTACATGAAGATTTGATTACTAGATCATAAGTTATTCAGGGTGTTGCTTTTTTGTTTTTTTAGTGCACTGTACATAAATGTTTTTATACAACATTATAAACTAAAAGAATCTTATGAAATACTTTTTGAGAAATTACTTAATACAATTCTCCAAAAGTTGTCGATTAATTGAAGAATTGTTACATTTCAGAATTTTTTTTTTAGATGAAAATTTATTTCCTACACATGTGCATGTTATTTTCAAAATAAAATGGTTAAAAAATTAATTAAAATGGGAAGTCTATCTATTTACAGAAAGATACAAAATTAAATCTAGATAAGTAATCTAAGTGAAGTAATTATGTAAATTAAATTATTACTTAAAGAAAAAATGCTAGGTACATTTGAAAATAAAAACTTCTTTTGCTTCACGGTTGAAGTGAAATTGATCCTTTAATTAAATGTAGCCTTTTCTTTTTTCTAAATTTTTCATCATTGAGATATCATTTAAAACATAACTTTCTTTCCTTTTAACTATAAAGCAAAAGGAGTATTTAAGTGAATTTAATTATTGCAAATCAAAGTTACCTGTTAAATCAGCAGCTTCTGCCATAAGAAATGTACTGTAGGACATTAAAACAAACAAACTGGATTCCAGCAAAGGAAAGTCACAAATGCGAGTAAATTTTGTCAAGTAAGCAGCATTAAGGAAAACATTGTAATCAATTGTGCATAAAACAATTTAAGAAATTAAAAATGTTTAATTCTTAAATTAGAAGTAAGACAGAATATCATATCACAAAATTAAATACATGGATTATTTTTATAGTAGAGTTTAATGGCAAACAAAGGAAGAAAAAACGATCGAAGTCGAGACAAAAATAACTACATCTATGCATCTAAACTCAAACAAGATAAAAGGTTTTATCCAAGACAGGCAATTTTAACTTTAAAAAAATTATCAAAATTTTCAGCATATTAATAGATAATTCATAAAAGAGTTCAAATTTACAGTTGTAAATTAAAACTCAACAAAATATTCATCACATAGGTTCACAACTCTTGAAAAGTTAAAATACCATATTACTTTAACATACAAGATTACAAAACATTAAATTTTAATAATCATCAAAATTTATAACTAGAGAATTTCCCATTAGCCAGTGGTAACCATAGAATTGTGTAGAAGTCAGAGAGTTTACGACTTTTACTGAAATAACATTTATATACAACCAATAATCCATAATTAATTTAATATTTTTGTGAAATTATTTCAGTCAAATGCCAATGAAAAAAAATTTTTGAAAATTAAAAAAGAATAAACATTTCATTGCAAAAATCATGAAAAGGATATACATTTATTAAAAATTACTTCAGTATTTCTCTTTGAACTTTCAATTCAAAATAAAATAATCAATTTCAAGAATAAAAAAAAATATTATCGGATAAAGTCAAAGGTATCGAGAGTTAAGACCTTTTTAACCAATAATAATTATTGAAACCAGAAAAATTTAAAAAAGGACAAACATTAAATTGAATAAATTATGAAAAGGATATGCATTTATTAAAAATTGCCCCCTGCATTTCTCATTTAATTTTTCAATTCAAAATAAAATAACGAATTTCAAGAATAAAAAAAAATTCTAATTTTATTTTTAAAAAAACCGTAATTCAGCATATTTTCAACATGTGCATACTCCAAAAACAAATTCAGGACAATACTAGAAGTCGCTTCAGACCTGTGAATACCTGACGCAAAACCTAATTAAAATGCTAAATTACACACAATCACACTAAATATTTTCCAAATAATTAGTTATTTTTCTTCTGTTAGAATATTCACTATTGCTAAAGAAAATTATTTATTGACTCATGGTTTCATGAAAAATAAATAAATCATTTAGGGACCTATAACCAAAAAAATTGAGAACCATTGCCTTAAGCTACACTAATATGTTTGACACTAAATGAAAATATAAAAATAAGCATATTTTTAATTCATTGTCTATGAGTTGAACGATTAACTACAGAGTACCACTGATTTAGGTTCAATTACTTAGCATTAAGATATAAGGTTAAATATCAGTTCAAATCATCCAGGATTTTGAATTACGTGAGGTGAAATAAGCAGAGTTGTATTGTATTAAAATATAATAAATATTGCATAATTTTTTTTCTCCATATCATGCAATATTTTTTGAAGAAGGATTTTGCCTTAAAATCACATCCATAATTATACTTAAATTCCGAAATGGCAATAAGTTTTACAATTGAACTGAAATTAAATAAAGGATATAGCAGCGGTGAGACATCCAGTGCCAGAACCAATTAAAAATGAGCAGATGAAAATGTACACAAAATTTCCTACAGATTTAAATGCGGCTGAAGATTGGAAACTATCATCTCCCTTTCCATACATTTCAGCATAGTTGTTGATTGATCTACAGAAAAAAATCCATTAATTTAAAATTCATTAGTTTGTGAATAGAATAATGGTGAAAAAGCTTTGAAATCAAACCATCCATCTAGTTTATTTGATGCAAAATTTTTACTTTCCTTATTTGGTCTGTTTTGCAATTAAAATAAATATAAAATAAAATGGAAGAAAGATATCTGGTAAATGAAAAGCAATTTAAAGAAAGCATAAATCTTCCTTTCCTTTATGATCTTTAAATACCTAACTTGGCCACAAGCAAGCATGCCATGACAGTTTCAGTGATTTTGAAAGACTTTCAAACAAAGGTCCACAGCACCTAAGATTTTCCAATATAGCATTTGTTTTTGTTTTTTTGTTTTTTTCATTTCAGTTTTGGAAAGAAAACTATACTTAGGGCAGTAATGTTTTAAACTCTAAAATATGTTTTCCAAATTACAAATTAAACTACAGCAAAAACTACAATTTAATAGAGTTATTGTATTAATAAAAGTATGCATTAAATTAAAAGTTATTTTTTCAGTAATTTAATTTTAGTTGTTTCAAAATATCATTACCTATTGAATTCTCAAATGGAATAATTTCTTACTACTTAGACCAATCTGGAGATTTAATATGTTGCAAGTTGGTTTAGTATTTTTTAATAAAAACTTTATTTTAATTAAAGTGTTTCACTAATTTTGAAAGCAACACAAGTTTAAAAAATAGTGATTTTTGAATGCTCTTTAGTTCCGCATTTTTAAAATTTTGGGATCATTAAATTGAAAATTAAAAGCAATTAACCACCATGATACAAGATTTTTTATCTTAAAAAAATAGTAAACAAATAAGTGTATGACCTCTAATTCACTCCTACAAAATTTCACTAACGGAGAATACACCATAAAAAATAAATTTGTTTTGTTTCGTATATTTACTTAATGTGTTCTATTTTCATTTCAATTTTTTTAGTGCGTCTCACACTATTGTACTGATATTTTTGCCTTGGCTACATTAATACAATATTAAAAAGCACTCCGTTTTGCGGATATAATCCTGTGAGCTGATGACGAGATATCTTTTCAATATTTCATTTTTCTGGTTTTTATATATTTTTTAAATTTTATTTTAATAATTTCTCTTCTCTTTTCATTAATATGTATTATTTTCCATTTTTCTCTATATTTTAAACAAATTTTATGTTCAAAAAATAGTAAACAAATATGAGTATGACCTCTNATACATATACATATTCCTATATATATATACATATACATATTCCTATATATATATACATATACATATTCCTATATATATATACATATACATATTCCTATATATATATACATATACATATTCCTATATATATATACATATACATATTCCTATATATATATACATATACATATTCCTATATATATATACATATACATATTCCAATATATATATACATATACATATTCCTATATATATATACATATACATATTCCTATATATATATATACATATAGAATATAAATAATATTCTTAATCATGAGAAAATTTCTGAATCAACAAATTGGATAAAATACTTCGACAATTTACAATTTTGTAATTGTTAATTCGGAATCATAATAACTCCCCTCCCCCCCCCCCAGNCCCCCCCAAGTATGCCAAAAGTATTCAAAGATAAGAATTTCTAATATTTAACTTATTTTTGCAAATCAACATTTATTCTGATGTTAAAAGTTCCAAAAATAAGTAATTTATTTAATAAATCTCACGATTTTTTAACATAAAATTCACTTTAAAAAATTTACTATAACAATACTAGTTTACAAACAATTTCTTTTTCTTCAATTTAATACAATTATTTATCACAAAGAGAAAAAGAAAATGGTTGAAATATTCTCACAAAAAAATCTCACTCTTAACAAACTTTCAACTTTGCTAATTAAAATCAAAGTATTTAAAATACTACAGAATTAACAAAAAACAATTTCTTACCCAGCCAAAACTATAGCTATAGCATCATTCAGAATACTTTCCCCGAAAACCAAAGCATATAGATTAACATCAACATGAAGGTCATGGAAAATAGCTAAAACTGTCACTGTTAAAGTAATAAAAAAAAAAGATTTTTAGGTTTTAATATTACAATCAAATTATAAAACTTCTTACAAAATTATTAGACTGGGTAATTTTATTCAATTTGTAACTATGCAATAAAATGAAAGGAGAAAAAAAAACTTTTAAAATTTTAATATTGAAACTCAACTTTTTTAGCAAGTATTTATTATGCCATTCTTAAAATAAGTAAAGTATAAGTGCTAAAATATCAGTTTCATTTATTTTAAAGAAAAAACAAGCCTCTCTTTTTAACACCACATATTTGAATACAATTATACACCTCAACAGTTATGCTAGGTTATGTTAGTTTAGTTTATTACATATTAGTTTAGTTAACAGTTATGCCTTAATTTATCTAGGTTAACTTAGGCTCTATAGTTATGCTAGGTTAGGATAACTAAAGGGAGATAGAAAAATTAAGATATCACAAAAAAGGGGGCACAGCCTGCGTTTAGAAAATTACAAACAAATAGCAGAATAACAAACTTTAAAGTACCCTTTTCATTATTGAATTCAATTATGAAAAAGCTAAAATGTATAATTATTATGCAACTTTAGTATGGTGTGAAATTACAATTTGGTACTAGAATGGTAAAATAAATTGGTAGCACTACATAAGTACAACTGCTCAAAAATTATATTGCCTGGCATGCATAGGTCATGTAAACATTTGAATCAGACGTGTCTTACCATATCCTTACATCTCTGCACAAGCAATTACATATTCAATCAAAAATATTGATTAACTTCAAACTTAAACAGATTACATTTCACAAGACCTAAAGGTTACTACATCTATGTTGAGGGGCAAGCAATTTCCAATAACTTCTGAGGTAAAAAAATGATAATTTGTTGAATTCATACTTAAAAAGATTGATATAGGTATAACATATTTATTGTCATTTTTTTGATAGATAAATTATAGGTACATTAACGTATTTTTATTAATATGCATTTGAAAAAGATGTATGAGTATGTAAAAGTTCAATTTGGTCAAGTATACTAACATGCGCTGCAAGGCATGTAAACATTTTGAGATCTTTTAAATCATGCTAGGTTTAATTTTAATTTGTTTTATCAGAATTCATAGCTTAACAATAACATAAAAGTAATTTAAAATACAAAAACTTCGTAATAAAACAAAGAACATACCAGGGTCAGTTGCAGAAATCATTGCCCCAAAGTACAGACACTCATTGAATGAAAATGTAATGCTAGGCATCAATTGAAGAAATGCAAACATTATTCCCCTGAAAAGAGGATGAAAAAATATGTGCAAACATAACAACACAGAATCTAAAAGAGCATTTAGCAACATTGATAGAATTGATTTTTTAGAAATGGCTATACAAATGAGGAAATATTTTTTAAATAAAAATCAGTCAATAACTCGTAAAAAAATAATGAACAGATTAACAAAGTGATAAACCTGAACTAAATTATAAAATAATGTTTTAACTCTAGTATGTAATACAGTATAACATAGAAAAAGAAAACTTGAATAACATGGTAGGGTCATTGGGAGAGGTTAATCTTTAATCAACTTAAAAATATATAAAAGTCTTTTATGACAAGTGATCAAAAGCACAAACAAATAAACAAAAAAATTTATGTTATGCTAGATTGATTATTTATTCAAGAAATAAAGTGTGTATTTCCGTGCCAAGTCTTCAAAAGTATTTTGAAAAATAATAAATTCACTTTAACTTAATTATGGGAATTATAATGAAATGAATTAAATGAAATATAAAAAAAGCAATCATGTTAATATAATCAGAAGGAATAAGAAGCAAAATAAACAACAAAATATAAATTTTAAAAAAAATTGATATTTAATACAATGAAAAAGTTAAAATAATTTATCTCAAAATAAAAATACATTCAAATTACACAAAATATGGCACTAAATATAAGCTTAATTACCTAGACTTCAAATTTTGAATTTATCCATTTATCTTTTAAGTTATAACAAGCTAAAAGCAATACAAAACATAAATTCAAAAAATCTCTATCTATATTTAAAATTTAGAGTAATACAATTATATTACATTAAATAACAAATATTAGACATTAAATTTATTATTATTACCAAAACATAAACTAATTATTAATTATTTATAATCACAATTATTATTGAATAAGATGCTTGATAGCTAAAAAGTCAAAGTATATATTTTAATAACAACATAATAGCTCAAGTAATCTGTCTTTTAAAATTTAGTCAGATGAAGTAAAAGCAATCATTTCAAAAAAATAAAGCATGGAGTACAAGAAGAATTTAACATCAAAAAAGACCAAACAAAATTTAAAAGCAGAATGAAAATAGGTTAGTTAAAAATTATCTTACCCAACCATAAAACAGGATATTGTAGTGCCTAAAAAGGCATAAGTAAAAATAGTGCCCAAATTTCTGAAGAAAAATTTCTGAAACGTAAGAAAATATACATACATATATAAACATTTGAATTTTTATTTACAATAAAAGAAAAAATTAATCATTTTATAAATTAGGAAGAAAAAATATTTTTAAAAAAACTTACACGTTTTAAACTATATCCTGCATTAAATATGATCGGAGGTAGAATTATATTAAAAAATATTTCTGGATCAAAAGTTGCCTGAAATAAAGAAGAAACATTAAAATTTATTATTTTTTATTTAAAAAATAACTAAATGAATGCATTATTCATATTCAACATTCTTAAAACAAACTTTTATTCCCTTTTATATCATTTTTCTCAATAAAAAATACATTTGATACACATATAAAAATAAAAGGCAAGGAAAAAAAATTATTAATGCTGCACAATTGTCTTTTGTTGAACTCAAATGTTAAAACTTTTCAATAACATGAAATGTCACTATAAAATTCATTTACACTATAGTGTCTGTTACTTGCCTTCAGTTAGTTTTAAATTAAGCAAATAAAATTTTTAGCAACTACAATAAGAAATTTTTTTATAACACCATTCATATTAAATATCAGCATATTTTAAAATTTCATGATCAACGATTTCTGAAATGATGTCATCTATATTTATGCAAACTTAGTACCAAACATTAGTGAACCATTATTATCACATAACTTTTGATGAATATGTTTATTTCAAATGTTTAATTTACCATATTTTCCTAAGTCAAACTTCATTTTTAACTTCAATATAGTGACATTTAGATGCCTAATTCCCATTGGAACAACAACAACAAAAATTATACCCAACAGCAAAATTCTAACCCAAAGATAAAACTAAAATTAAATTTTTGAAAACAGAAAGAACTACCTTTTATTTTAGAGCATAATTTATCAATGAAATAAAGAATTTTCTAAAATATATAGTAATTTTGTTCTTTCATTCTCAAATAATGATGTTAGGACTTATGTTCTGATCTTGTTCTGAAAATTTTAATTCTGTTTTCAAAAACGGTTTAATTCTAGAAGAGACATGGAAAAATACTGATGCCAACATAATAGAAATGTGGTATTTCCAATTAATTGGATGGTATCCGAAATGACATGAAAGGGAACTCAGGATCCTGTGTAATAAGTATGCTATAAAAAGTTTAATTATTATTTTATAAAAGTTTTGATTATGTAATATTAGTGTCACTTTTACGTTCATATTAATCGTATACATTAGGTGAAGGGTTAAATTTAAAAGAAAAAAAATTTCGTTACTGTTTAAGTCGATTTCCCTAACTTACAGTACAATTTAAGGACTCAAGAGGCTGACTTATATTAGGGATGTAACGAATATTCTGCCTCTATTCGGTATTTGGCCCTTTTGCCGAATATTTGGCCAAATGTACACCAGAGTATTATTTGGAATATTATTTTTCCACAAAGTTTTTAGAGGGCAAAATTCATAATAGATTTAATAAAGAATAGTCTAAAATCATCTCATAAAATCATTTTTTTACCATACATTATTAATAATTAGATAATTAGAAAAATATGTTTTTATACATATTTGTTAAGTTCTAAAACTTGTTAACTTATGTTCTGAAAGACACTTGGAAAAGCGGAATTTGAAGAATTGAAACTAGATTAATTGACACTGAACCATGAGTTTTATAATGCTGATTTTTTTTTTTTTTAATTATATGCAGGCATTTTTAACACTTAATGTTTTAAAAATTGAGAACATTTACTTTTGTTTAATTTTTGCTTGTTTTTCAGTTTAAACTAAAGCAAAGCATGTTAATGGAATGTTTCGAATACACTTTATTTTTTTTTCCTGTCGCTTTTTTCTTGTACAGTAAGACAGATAACTAGTAACATGGAAAACTGTGATTCTCAGTGTTAAAGTTATATTTCAGAACTAAGAAAAAAAAAATCTGTTTCTCTTTAGATTTTTTTTTTAACTTTTCCTTTTATCAGCTCTTTTATTATAACAGCATTTTCTAAGGACCATTTCTAACGAACGTTTTTCTTTTATGGTCACTTTTTTCGAAAAATACAGCAATGTGAAAATTTTTAGTGTTAAATCATTTGTTAAAAAAATTAAGAACGATTGTTTTAGTTTTTAGCTAGCTTTTTTTTTTTCTTCAAGAAAACTTATGGTTTTATGGACATTTTTATTATGATGCAGAAAATAAGAGGGTTTCTATTATAGACTTAAATCTTTATTTTTTCATGAAAATACAGTAAATGAAAAATTGAAATGCTTAGCTTTAAAATTTTCTTTCAAAATTAAGATCGATTTTTATTTTTTCTGTTTTGCTTTTGTATATAGTCTTTATTTTTATAGGCATTTTAAAAGCGTTTCTGATAGACAGTACCTCTTTTAATGTCTTATGGATATTTTTTTTCTCCGGAAAATACATACTTTTAACACTAAAGCTTTGTTTCATTTGAAGAATTAAGATTTTTTTTTTTCTATTTCCTTTTTTTTCAATTTTATAACTTTGATTTATTTTTTCAATAGCTATCAGTCATGTTTTTTAAATATTTCTAACTACCTTAATATCTGATTATCTTTATTATCTTAAACATTCATATTTAAATATTTTTTTTCCTTTACTCAATACCAATAGTATTGCTAAGTTTTGATTATTTTTCTATTACTAAACTCATTTCTGTATAAAAAATCATATTTATTAATGATTTTTTATTTTTAAAAAAACGTTACTTGGCTGTAATAGTGATTTGGGCGATCACCAAATATTCGACCTAATCACCATTAGTTATATCCCAAACTTATACTTCGAAAAATATGGTAAGCTAAAAAATTTAGAAAGAATTTTTTTAAAAAACGTTTTTAACATGAGAATTTCAAATTTGGCATAGTTAGATTTATTTCATTTCAATATTAACCTTTAAGAGTGATATCTATAACAAATGCTCCCTGTTTTTCAGAATTATTTTTCCTTATGATAAAATTAAATTTTTTATTCTTTTAAAATAATTTTATTACCTTCCTTTGAATATGTTGAGAATATTAATAATAATTTATTACAAAACCATTTTTTTATACATAAAAGCTACTCCAATATTTAATTTATGTCTTTCTGATATATAGAACAGTTTTTCAATGTCAACAAGGTTGGTTTTTCCAACAAAAATAAATGGATTAAATAAGTTTGAATAAAAATCACATTTTTATCAATCCAAAATACAAATTTAAATTTACATAAAATTCTCACCTTTTGATCCAATTTTTTATTTTCGACATCTGTGATTTCACCTCTGAAAGAGTAAGCATAAGTCTTATTCTTCACATCTTGAGTAGCTGTTTGCCTTACTACAGCCATTTGAAAAAATATATTATCTGGGGGCATGGTTAAGTTATGCCCATAACCCCTAGCAGGTGTTGTGTAGATGTGATTAACTTCGTAATCTTGACCACCATACCTGATAATGGCACCAACAATCAATCCTAAAATAATAATTATAATATTCATTTGCAATTTATTCACACATACCCTACCCTAAGTAAATCCTACCCTCATTTAAATAATAATTTAAAACAAATATATATTTACGTCAAGTAAAAAATTTTTAAATTCTAATTAGGAAATAGCAATCATCATTTTGCAACCTCATCAATTCATTTTATATGAATGAGAAAATCAATATAAATAGCATGCAAAATTGCAATTAAGTATCAAAATATATAAATTAGGGGTGCACCTTTTGGAATAAGGGCCATTTGCACATCAGTTAGATTAATGAAGGGCTGCACCTATATTTAGTCATGTTAGTGGCAAATATGATAATTTTAATGTGTTGTAACCATAAAAGTGTGCATAAAAATTGCAACATTAGTGTTGTAAGCACTAAATACTTTTATTAGTAAACTTAAATAACATATTTGCAGAAAATAAAATATTTTTAATTATTTGAATTTATTTAAAACTAAAAAAAACTGATACTTTTTTCAAAAAAACTTTTTCCATTTTTCACAATAATTAATTTATCAAATATATATATACATAAATATTGGTTGCTGCTGCTGTAGTTAATTTGCGTCGCACTAGAGCTGCACAATGGGCTATTGGTGACGGTCTGAGAAACTTCCCTGAGGATGATCCGAAGACAAGCCATCACAATTTTGATCCTCTGCAGAGGGGATGGCACCCCTGCTTCGGTAGCCCAACGACCTGCAATCGAAGTCCAGCACTTTACGGTAGAACAGTTTAACGAGGACCAATACCGCACACCCTCGGTCCCTACGCAGACTGATCCAAGTGGTCACCCACCCGCACACTGACCGCAGCCAGTGATGCTGGACTTCGGTAATCTGCTGGGAACCGTGTCTTAACAATCAGTCCACTGCGGGACGTATAAAAAGTGCAGCATTAGTGTTGTAAGCACTAAATACTTTTATTAGTAAACTTAAATAACATATTTGCAGAAAATGAAATATTTTTAATCATTTGAATTTATTTAAAACTAAAAAAAAACTGATACTTTCTTTTAAAAAAAACTTTTTCCATTTTTCACAATAATTAATTTAGCAAATATATATGCATACATAAATATTGGAGGGGGAGATACAAATTCTAACCAAAAAGAAGCTTAAAGAATGAAAGATCAAAAAATATATGCATTTNTATATATACACATAAATATTGGGGAGGGGGATATAAATTCAAACCAAAGAGAAGCTTATAGAATGAAAGTGCAAAAAATATATGCATTTTATAGAGTAATATAAATTTGAATAAAATATTGTAATTAAAGAAAATTCACAATGTTTAAACAAAAACTAAATTAAAAAGAAATGTTTTTATTGTGTTCAGAAGCTCCCGCGGTCTGCACGTCAACGGTCAATGGGACACAGGTTGTGCCCCCCTAATGTAAACCATTTGAAACTCAATTGCATCTCTTTTTAAGAAATATTTCTCAATCGAAATATATTATTCATACAAAAATTAAATATTGTAATTTATATAAAGAAAAAAACTCTCATTAATTTTTCAGCAAAAAAAAAAATAATAAAAACTTAATAAAATTCCAATTTTTTTTTAAAAGACAAGTAATGTTTAATTTCAAAAAATATATTTATTTTTTTTATTTTAAAATATTATGAGTATTTTGAAAATTGTTTCATATGAGTGTTTCACTTAAGTGTGTTCTTTTAGTGTTTTAATAACATTAGAACAGCATTTTTTTAAAATGTATAAATTGGAGAAGAAAAAAAATTTCATTTAACATTTTTTGGAAAAAACTTGCAGAAGAACTTAGATATGAATTCAAATAAAAATTTATTGACACTTTAATTTATGAGATTTAAGATAAGAAATAAAATACTTACAACTTATCAACACATGTTACAGATAGATACAAGACAAAGTTTTATATTATCATTTATTATCAATGATCATAAAATAAATAGCTATTCTTTTTCATATCTATTAATAAACAATTCAATATTATCATTAGATATCGAAATTATTATCGGTGTTAACAGTGCAAAAGAATAACACTCTTGTATCAGTTTATAAATACTTACAATTTGATTATTAGTTAAAGTTGAAAAAACTGCCTTAATAGTCATGACTGGATTATAGTATCTTAAATTACACATTTAAAATATGTTTTTTTACTTAAAGCTTTATGTATCTAATTTAATTTAAATCATTGATTATAAATAATGGAATGCTTTCATCAATGCTTATAAAATATAAACATACAATAGTTAAATAGCTCACAATCATAATTAAAAATAAACTTTGAATGGAAAAATAATATTTTCTTAACCTGTTTTAATTCTATTTCCAGATAAATTTGAAAGCTTTAAAAAAAAACAATTTCAGCTAAGTTGCTTAACTTTGTGCAAAAACATTTTGAAAGTTATATACATAATTGTTATTTTTGCAATTTTAAGTTAAAATATATTTGAAAATCACTAAGTATGGAAAACTTTAGCCTTATTTGAAAATCAAAGGCATTCACATTTGTTTTTATTTAATGATCTGGCCGATGAACTGGCCAAGGAGGAGGCTAATGATCCTATAGATAGTAGTGGCCTTCTAACTTACAATGAAATCTATGCAAAAGTTAAGACCGACAATAACAGGACTTGGAGGATTTCACCTAGTCATGATTGGTATCAACAAAATAGTCCTGGAGCTGCCCTGGAGCTAAAAGGTGATAGGAAACTACAGACAGCTATCACAAGACTAATCAGTGGTCATACCCATGGAATAATATTTGTTCAGGGTCAAAAGACTTTCCCTGTATTGCTAAAATGTAATGTGCACCAGGCTACACCTGATTATTTGTTGTCCTGTATGGGGCTAGAGAAGAATTTTATCTAGGAGAATCTGGTGATGGTATATGATTTTCTGTTGGTGAACGGTCTTCTAGATTTGGTCTAGCCTTGTTCTGGGCCAAGTGGAATATGTAACAACACATTTGTTTTTAACAAATTTTGAAGAATTATATATATATATATATATATATATATATATGTGTGTGATGTTGATGTTATAGTAGCCATGGTCAAGTGTTCAGGAATGCAGGAAAATAGCTGGATAGAAACAAACTTTATTTAAGTCATTTTTGAGTTTGCAAATCTTCATATCATGTTCCAGAATCTGCGTGATTGAGTTTTTATCTAAGGGAAAGTAGCACAAGTTTGTCCCTCTATTGTGTTAGATCTCAGGGAAAAACAAAAACAAATTACAATTAGTCCATTAAATATGTTGAGGGAATAAAATATTTCTCACAGTTCGAATTAAGGGAAAATCCAAAATGTTAATTTATACATACCGAAACCAAAAATATAATAAGAAAAGAGGAAGTGAATAATTAATTGTAAGAAAGTGCTTAATGTTGAATAATAATTTAAGAAGGAGAATTTAGATAAAGAAATTACCTAAAAAGATTACTTGAAGATTTTTATGTTACACTCACATACAGATATATACGCGATTCCAGTTTGAAAAAATATCATCCATTGTTTTTAAATAATAATTACACACTGGTAAAATAGTCTGTGTTTATAACTTTAATTTGAATTACGACTTTAAATATTTACTTTGTTAGCATTATTCTCAGCTGGTTAAATTTTTATAAGTATCTTATCTGGGGGAGGGGTAAAAATAAATTTTTTAAGTGATTTTAAAACTTTTTTATTTTAAATAAATGCCTCTCTTTTACAAAAAAAATGCATCTTTACACGTTAATTTTCTACTAATTTTCAGATTAAATTATGGAAAAAAGCTTTCAAGTTGTTTATCAATTAATCATTTTTTGCTAGTTTACTTTCTTTGAAAAAAGAAATATGCACAAAGATTGCCTTTTAGCATGTGTTTAATTAATTTCATAAACTACAAATTTTTCTCTTATTTTGATAATGATTGAAATATACACATAAGATAGCATGTCAAAAATTGTTGAGCAAAAAATTCAGTTATTACATAATATTACACATTTTGATTAATATTTATGATGTTAAGTGAGTGAAATAATGACTAATAACAACACAAATGTTTTGTTACTTACTGTAGTGTAGCTATCACTGCAAAAATATAATTTTAATTCAGTAGTTAATAAGACATGTTAACTTGATTCTATGGTGGGGTACCTTTTCATAGATGAAGGTTGACATTGTCGATTACTCCTTGCCCCATTGTTACCTTACTGTCTATATCTCAAATAGGTATTACATATTTGATTCTAACCTTAAAATTAAGTCTCATTAAAAAAAATGATTTTATCTTAAGAATTAATAATTGAAAATAAAGTGAAGAAAAAAAAGGAAAGAAGAAAACTAGAAGGGGGAAAAAAGCTGACTAGAAAAATTGTTTCTGCAAATTATGAATCACAAATTTTTTCTTAAAATGAATGTTTTCATGTTTTCCTAACTTTATTTATATGTTTTTATACAGCATTATCTTTTTATTTTCATTAAGGATATTATTTCCAAAAATATATTTTGGTTCCAACCATTAGTTGAATAACCAAGCAAAACTTATTTCATTATCGTTAAATTTTTTTCAATACGTACTAAATATTTTTTTATTGCAAGTAAAGAAAGACGAATACGAACAATTCAGTAGCGAATTATTAAGAGTTACTGTTTAAGAACTAAATTTCTTTCGAAAATAAATCAGCAATACTTCTATCGAAATATTTTAAGGTAAAATAAACTACAAGGCTTGCAACAAAAAATGACAGATGTCAACATCATAACCAATACGGTTCATAATAAAAATTATTTTAATCAACAAATAACCCAACAAAATAGATGGAAAATATCACAAATTTAGACAGTGATCAATTGCAATTGTCATACAACTCACCATAAATTATTGCAAGGCCAGTTTCGTGCAAAAATCTTGCACGGCGCCTTTTAAAAAACCATATAGTGCATACAGTAAGAATAAGTAAAATTACATAAACTAATATATTTAAACAGTCAATTTGATGAATTCGTTTAGCATTTTCATCAAGTTTTATGTCATAAGGTACGCTCGCACTACATTCATGCACTAATAATAAAGTTGCAGTCGTTAAAAAGAAAACAATACTATTTCTTTGACGGCGCATATCTCAAACAAGCGGCCACAAACCGGCGCGAATCACTTCACACGCGGTATCATACACAATAGATATTGTTCGTTCGCCGATCCGACTAGCAAAACAAAAGTTTTCAATTAAGTAAGCAAGATCAAGTGATTATTATTCACACGAACGCCCATAAACATTAGAAAGATCTACAACGAAATTACGAAACAGATTCGGCAGGTAAACATCACGAAAATTCGATTGCCATTCAGAGTTTTTAAATAGAGAAAAATATGAGAGACCGTGGTTGCCAAGAGGTTTTTCAAACCAACCAAAGAACGAAAACCGAGCTCTCAAAATGCTGTAATTTTCATTTGGGAATTTTCGTTTACATTTCATTGAAAAGTGTTTGCTGTTTCTAACATTCTCATTTGGTCTAAGTAACTCAGTTATTAACTGAAAATTGAGAAAATAGCATTTCAAAGTAGAACCAAGATCCAATTTTGAAGCGGCGGACTTTCGAAATTTTTTCATTCTTATTAAGAATTTCAGTATTATTTTAACAGCACTTTTAATGAACTCAGTGTAGCTTCCAACTATGTTCAAAAATAAATAATAGAAAATGGCATAGATGACCAAACAGAGAAAGATCGGGTTCCTGATCGAAAATAAGAGAAGCTTTTTTATTCAAACACAAATTAAAGTCAGTCACTTCTCATTTTTACTTTATTATTTCAATACAGTAGAGGAATAATTTTTAATAATTTTATAATATCTTAATTTAGATTCGTGAGATTAAAAAACAGTAATTTTATTTCAGATTTTAAAATCATAATCTGAAAAGTTATAGTAAATTTCAGTACTTTCACAAAACGTCACGTTAGTCATTTAAAATAATAAATTAATAAATATGTTTTAAATAAAAAATTTTGCCAACATTTTGAATTCCTTAATTTAAATATAAAAAAAATTTAAACAAAGTAAATAATAATAATTTGTACATTTAAGCTGATAAAAGGTTTAAGCGATGTATTTTAAAAACCAGTTTCCATGTTATTGCACTTTCCTACTCAAAGATATTTTTAACATGCTTAAGAATTTTTGCCAAAGAGATTACTTTTTTAATCATCATAAATGAGGAAAATTAAACTCCGACATTTTTTAATAATTTCAAAAACATATTTCATGCTTTAATTATTTTAAGTAAATTATTATTGGGCGCAATTTTTTAAAAAATTTATTACGAGATGTTTTTTTTTTTTTTTTTTTTTTTTTTTTTTTTTTTTTTTTTTTTTTTTTTTTTTTTTTTTTTTTTTTTTTTTTTTTTTTTTTTTTTTTTTTTTCTTTCTTAATAATTGCCAAATGGAAATAAAAATTTTGTGCTTATATAACGTTAACATTTACATGTCAAAACAAAATAACGATCACTTTTAGTTCGCACTTTTGAATTTGAACTATTATTAAATCAAAAACATAATAAGATCAAAGGATGTTATTAATTATTAAAGTCTTGTATAGAGTAAAGAAGCTATAAAAAGAATAATTTACAGGCAATTATTAAGATTTGTTTTTACTTGTTCATTAAATAATTGATTATGTAATTTTTTCCCCTCTAAAAGAATGCTTCAATAACAATCCGAAAATTTTGCAAATAATTTTTTATAAATACTACGTTTTTATAAATTGGTGTCAGTGAGGCTGGAATCTTGTAATCGCAATTTGACTACTTTCCAACTTGCTAGAGCACTCACATATTTATTGGGACTGCGCGTCGAATGACAAAGAAAGTTTTAATCTCTTCCTAACCTTTACAATCAGCCAATTTTTGACATGATAACGAGCTCAAATTTCAATTGGAGCTCAATGCCAGATGATATTACAGGTCACAATTATTTTCTGAATGCTGCACGTAAAATTTATCGCAATTTTATCGTCAATCAACATTTTTGCTACTCGATCTTCTACGTAAACAAACTAAAAGAAGAAGAAAAAAATAATGAAATATAAATCAATAAAAACGGGAAAACTACGATTTTCATGAGCACTAAAGAAGGTAATAGCTATGATAAACAAGCTACAGATATCGGGCATGCTGTATGCTTTTTCTAAAGCAGTTCATTATGCTGATTTCAAATCTGAAAAACATTTTGCTCAAACACATCAGGTTTTGAAATTATTGACAAAACATTTTTCATGGTACACCGCTCAATTTTCATGGAACACCGTTTATTTTTCCTGGAATACTATTTAGTTTTTATAGAATTTGCTTGTACAACAACTACACATTTTTGCCACAGACAAAACAAAACTTGTGAAACACTTTTCAATGCTATGCACTATTTTCTAGAACTACAGGAAAAAAGCTCCGAAAGAAGCCCTAGTAGAAAAAACAAAGAAGAGAAGAAAAAAAAAAACTCGTTTCTCAGGAACTATTCGACCAATTTTGTTCAAAATTCGTATTTTGCTATATTGTCGGTTATTGTTAAATAAAATACTGAAAAACAATAAATAATTATTTAAAATGATTTTTTGCATGAAATTGATTTTGGATAAACAAATTTTATAACTGTTTGTAAAAATGTTTCGATTTACTTAAAAAGTTCTCGAGATATGGCAAAAAACACAAAAGGTAAAATTAATATTAATGGGTGAAAACTTTCGACGCAGTTCTCCTGATCAACTATTGGGACGATATTTATCAGTTAGCTGCAACCCCCAATATTTTAAGGATCAGAAATCCAAACCCGTAGAAAAAAAAGCTATGTTTATTCAGAGAAAATAGTTAATTGCGTCGTAACTTAAAATATCGTGTGCACTAATTAATTAACATATCTGAAAACCTTTTAAACCATTGAATCCTAGTGCGTCAAAATCCGATCTAAGTCAAAAGTTATTCAAAGTGATTCGTTTTTGGACATTGTACATTCAGGGGCGGATCCAGAAATTTTTCCTGGGGAGGGTCATAGACTCAGATCCCCCCCCCCCATTAGTTTTTTTATAAAAAAAAAATTTAAATATTTTTTTTGAAAAAAAAATGGGGTTTTTAATGCTAGTCTTCTCATTTATTTTTTTCATAATAAGTATTCAAAATCTTTTAATAATAAATGTAATGCGTTTTTTTTAGAAACTTTGGCAAATACAATCTTAAGTTAAACCTATCGAAGCGGGCTTCAACATTATTAATGTTTACAATGAAACTATGACGAATTTCGTTTTAATCCTCTGGATTATGATTCTTAAAACAGTGTGGAACATAATTAGATGGGGAAAAAATCAACTTTCCAACCTACCTAGGTGTATATGACCCCTTAAATAATTTTCAAAATATTTTATTTCCTTTGTAAACTATTAAAAAATTTAATATTATTATTATTTTTTCAATCGGGGGAGGGGAGTCATGACCCCTATGACCCTCCCCCCTTCTGGATCCGCCACTGTGTACATTATGTATTGCCAAGGCTGAATCTATCCTCGCATGATAAGTTTCCATATAAAAAGATTTTTTAAATCCTATTATTTGAATTTGATTCTCCCAGTAATTTAATTTTTCTATAAATTTAAAAGTTTTACTGTCTTAAAAATTTTAAGCTTGCTATCTAATCTTTATGTAAAATATAAATCATTTGATTTACAGAAAAAGATTGTTATTTTTTTTATTTTATTTATTTATTTATTTATTTTATAAACTTAATTTTGAATGGGGAGGGGAGCAAGAAAACTTGACTTTAGCTCACGTAATTTTAGGTTTCTATAACTACGGTCACTTGTTAATGTATTTTGTAGGATATAAATTTTGCCTGTTTTTTTTTTTTTTTTAAATTCTTTTTGAGTGTATGACTACTTTTAAAATTGTTCATTTTTAATTTGCTTTATTTATATTCTTGATTTAGCGAGTGAATAAAAGAGGGGGGAAAAAGAAGAAGACAGGAAACGAATCTGTGAAAGGGTAACTTAGTGATTTCGTGTATTGTGATAATGTATCTAGATAGACTAATCAGTAAATTAGCATAATAGCAAAACAGCGAATAGGTGCGGCGATTAAAATAAAGAAATAAAAGTGTTTATAAACCCATAATTTGTGAAATGGTAATTAACGTGAATAGCCATTTTCTTCTAGTCTTATATGATTTATTTTCTTTCTTTTTTCAGACAGAAGCTTCCAGCTCATATTATTTAGTCTCTTTTTCAAGTCAAAGAAATATCGTTTGACGTGAAGTTTCAGCTGTTCAAAATGATCAAAAACAAAATGTTATTGTGTACTGATGGGTATCTTTACGTTTGAAATGTGCAGCTAATTTCGCTCTCAACACACATTTGAAAAGTTCTCTTTTTCGTTACATCTACATTCGATAAGTAAATAAAAAAAATAATTAGATATCATCATTATCGATTGCGAAATGAGAATTTCAAGGTTTTTCATCATCGTTTGGCAACCTTTAAGTGACATATTTTATTAAGTATTCCAGAAACAGAATGTGCTGCATTTGAAGAGAATTCATTTACTTTTTATTTTATTTACTCTTAATATCTTTTATGAAAAAAACTTTGAGGTAAAATGTTTTGTTTAGATTCTATTTTTCTCTCTTCTATTAAGTTTGCAAGCATTACTTGTGACTAAAGTTTCATCAAACATTTTATATTAATTATTCGATGAGACTTATAATGAATATGAAATGAATAATGAAATGAATATAATGAATGAATATAATAATGAAATGAATATGGATCAGCAGGCGCTGTCTTCGGTAGAAGGTACGGAGGGATAGAGAATAACTATAGTAAGAAAATTTTATTAAGATCGTTCGGTTAATACAATCAAATGCAGGGTGTTTTATAATGCTCTCCCTTAATAGGTATTTTTAAAATCCTTGTAAAAAATTAAATTTAAAAAAAAAATTACAAATACGAGGGATTGCTGGTTAAGCAAGAAAGAAACAAAAACATTATTCTAATCTGCCGAATTATCAGAGAAATTTATATTTAATAACTTAGTCTGGAGAAATTTGTGGTTGTTTCCAATGATCGTTTTATAACTCTTCTATGCTTCTTCCGGCATTTAAATTGGTTTTGATATTTTCAGTCCCGTCTTCTTTAAGTTTCGATGCCGGTTATATTTCCTTACTCGCTTATAAAATACTACGGGTGCTGGAATGTGTGAACTTTTTGACTTTATTTTTTTACAAGGATTCTAAAAACAACATGCAGTGATTACGTAACAATCTGTATAATAAGAGTGGCCATTATAAAACACCTCATAAAA